CTCCAAAAGAGCTCTAGGCGTAAAATATCGTTTGGACCCCAAAAAATGGCGTTTGGACGCTTTTCCGGGCCGTTTTCTGGTGCGGACACAATATCAATGAATCGAAAGTGCTATGCATAGTGTTTTTTGGATGCATCCATCCTCCCTCTCACATAAGGGTCACTTAGGACTCCGGATCGGGCCTAAGCATCAAGTGGGGCCTACGCCGCCGAATAAACGTTCAAGATCCTCTCGGAAAGGCATATATGCGTTTGCGCGTCATAAACAAACGGGTGCGATCATACCAGCACTAATGCACCGGATCCCATCAGAACTCCGCAGTTAAGCGTGCTTGGGCGAGAGTAGTACTAGGATGGGTGACCTCCCGGGAAGTCCTCGTGTTGCACCCCTTTTTTTGTTAATTTTTTTCTGTATTTCTATCTGAAACTTCCAAAATGCGTAGCTGGAAGACCGTGAGGCCGTATGCTGCCACCAACCACTTTTCGTGAAGCTCCAAAAGAGCTCTAGGCGTAAAATATCGTTTGGACCCCAAAAAATGGCGTTTGGACGCTTTTCCGGGCCGTTTTCTGGTGCGGACACAATATCAATGAATCGAAAGTGCTATGCATAGTGTTTTTTGGATGCATCCATCCTCCCTCTCACATAAGGGTCACTTAGGACTCCGGATCGGGCCTAAGCATCAAGTGGGGCCTACGCCGCCGAATAAACGTTCAAGATCCTCTCGGAAAGGCATATATGCGTTTGCGCGTCATAAACAAACGGGTGCGATCATACCAGCACTAATGCACCGGATCCCATCAGAACTCCGCAGTTAAGCGTGCTTGGGCGAGAGTAGTACTAGGATGGGTGACCTCCCGGGAAGTCCTCGTGTTGCACCCCTTTTTTTGTTAATTTTTTTCTGTATTTCTATCTGAAACTTCCAAAATGCGTAGCTGGAAGACCGTGAGGCCGTATGCTGCCACCAACCACTTTTCGTGAAGCTCCAAAAGAGCTCTAGGCGTAAAATATCGTTTGGACCCCAAAAAATGGCGTTTGGACGCTTTTCCGGGCCGTTTTCTGGTGCGGACACAAATCAATGAATCGAAAGTGCTATGCATAGTGTTTTTTGGATGCATCCATCCTCCCTCTCACATAAGGGTCACTTAGGACTCCGGATCGGGCCTAAGCATCAAGTGGGGCCTACGCCGCCGAATAAACGTTCAAGATCCTCTCGGAAAGGCATATATGCGTTTGCGCGTCATAAACAAACGGGTGCGATCATACCAGCACTAATGCACCGGATCCCATCAGAACTCCGCAGTAAGCGTGCTTGGGCGAGAGTAGTACTAGGATGGGTGACCTCCCGGGAAGTCCTCGTGTTGCACCCCTTTTTTTGTTAATTTTTTTCTGTATTTCTATCTGAAACTTCCAAAATGCGTAGCTGGAAGACCGTGAGGCCGTATGCTGCCACCAACCACTTTTCGTGAAGCTCCAAAAGAGCTCTAGGCGTAAAATATCGTTTGGACCCCAAAAAATGGCGTTTGGACGCTTTTCCGGGCCGTTTTCTGGTGCGGACACAAATCAATGAATCGAAAGTGCTATGCATAGTGTTTTTTGGATGCATCCATCCTCCCTCTCACATAAGGGTCACTTAGGACTCCGGATCGGGCCTAAGCATCAAGTGGGGCCTACGCCGCCGAATAAACGTTCAAGATCCTCTCGGAAAGGCATATATGCGTTTGCGCGTCATAAACAAACGGGTGCGATCATACCAGCACTAATGCACCGGATCCCATCAGAACTCCGCAGTTAAGCGTGCTTGGGCGAGAGTAGTACTAGGATGGGTGACCTCCCGGGAAGTCCTCGTGTTGCACCCCTTTTTTTGTTAATTTTTTTCTGTATTTCTATCTGAAACTTCCAAAATGCGTAGCTGGAAGACCGTGAGGCCGTATGCTGCCACCAACCACTTTTCGTGAAGCTCCAAAAGAGCTCTAGGCGTAAAATATCGTTTGGACCCCAAAAAATGGCGTTTGGACGCTTTTCCGGGCCGTTTTCTGGTGCGGACACAAAATCAATGAATCGAAAGTGCTATGCATAGTGTTTTTTGGATGCATCCATCCTCCCTCTCACATAAGGGTCACTTAGGACTCCGGATCGGGCCTAAGCATCAAGTGGGGCCTACGCCGCCGAATAAACGTTCAAGATCCTCTCGGAAAGGCATATATGCGTTTGCGCGTCATAAACAAACTGGTGCGATCATACCAGCACTAATGCACCGGATCCCATCAGAACTCCGCAGTTAAGCGTGCTTGGGCGAGAGTAGTACTAGGATGGGTGACCTCCCGGGAAGTCCTCGTGTTGCACCCCTTTTTTTGTTAATTTTTTTCTGTATTTCTATCTGAAACTTCCAAAATGCGTAGCTGGAAGACCGTGAGGCCGTATGCTGCCACCAACCACTTTTCGTGAAGCTCCAAAAGAGCTCTAGGCGTAAAATATCGTTTGGACCCCAAAAAATGGCGTTTGGACGCTTTTCCGGGCCGTTTTCTGGTGCGGACACAATATCAATGAATCGAAAGTGCTATGCATAGTGTTTTTTGGATGCATCCATCCTCCCTCTCACATAAGGGTCACTTAGGACTCCGGATCGGGCCTAAGCATCAAGTGGGGCCTACGCCGCCGAATAAACGTTCAAGATCCTCTCGGAAAGGCATATATGCGTTTGCGCGTCATAAACAAACGGGTGCGATCATACCAGCACTAATGCACCGGATCCCATCAGAACTCCGCAGTAAGCGTGCTTGGGCGAGAGTAGTACTAGGATGGGTGACCTCCCGGGAAGTCCTCGTGTTGCACCCCTTTTTTTGTTAATTTTTTTCTGTATTTCTATCTGAAACTTCCAAAATGCGTAGCTGGAAGACCGTGAGGCCGTATGCTGCCACCAACCACTTTTCGTGAAGCTCCAAAAGAGCTCTAGGCGTAAAATATCGTTTGGACCCCAAAAAATGGCGTTTGGACGCTTTTCCGGGCCGTTTTCTGGTGCGGACACAAAATCAATGAATCGAAAGTGCTATGCATAGTGTTTTTTGGATGCATCCATCCTCCCTCTCACATAAGGGTCACTTAGGACTCCGGATCGGGCCTAAGCATCAAGTGGGGCCTACGCCGCCGAATAAACGTTCAAGATCCTCTCGGAAAGGCATATATGCGTTTGCGCGTCATAAACAAACGGGTGCGATCATACCAGCACTAATGCACCGGATCCCATCAGAACTCCGCAGTTAAGCGTGCTTGGGCGAGAGTAGTACTAGGATGGGTGACCTCCCGGGAAGTCCTCGTGTTGCACCCCTTTTTTGTTAATTTTTTTCTGTATTTCTATCTGAAACTTCCAAAATGCGTAGCTGGAAGACCGTGAGGCCGTATGCTGCCACCAACCACTTTTCGTGAAGCTCCAAAAGAGCTCTAGGCGTAAAATATCGTTTGGACCCCAAAAAATGGCGTTTGGACGCTTTTCCGGGCCGTTTTCTGGTGCGGACACAAATCAATGAATCGAAAGTGCTATGCATAGTGTTTTTTGGATGCATCCATCCTCCCTCTCACATAAGGGTCACTTAGGACTCCGGATCGGGCCTAAGCATCAAGTGGGGCCTACGCCGCCGAATAAACGTTCAAGATCCTCTCGGAAAGGCATATATGCGTTTGCGCGTCATAAACAAAGGTGCGATCATACCAGCACTAATGCACCGGATCCCATCAGAACTCCGCAGTTAAGCTTGCTTGGGCGAGAGTAGTACTAGGATGGGTGACCTCCCGGGAAGTCCTCGTGTTGCACCCCTTTTTTGTTAATTTTTTTCTGTATTTCTATCTGAAACTTCCAAAATGCGTAGCTGGAAGACCGTGAGGCCGTATGCTGCCACCAACCAACTTTTCGTGAAGCTCCAAAAGAGCTCTAGGCGTAAAATATCGTTTGGACCCCAAAAAATGGCGTTTGGACGCTTTTCCGGGCCGTTTTCTGGTGCGGACACAAATCAATGAATCGAAAGTGCTATGCATAGTGTTTTTTGGATGCATCCATCCTCCCTCTCACATAAGGGTCACTTAGGACTCCGGATCGGGCCTAAGCATCAAGTGGGGCCTACGCCGCCGAATAAACGTTCAAGATCCTCTCGGAAAGGCATATATGCGTATGCGCGTCATAAACAAACGGGTGCGATCATACCAGCACTAATGCACCGGATCCCATCAGAACTCCGCAGTTAAGCGTGCTTGGGCGAGAGTAGTACTAGGATGGGTGACCTCCCGGGAAGTCCTCGTGTTGCACCCCTTTTTTTGTTAATTTTTTTCTGTATTTCTATCTGAAACTTCTAAAATGCGTAGCTGGAAGACCGTGAGGCCGTATGCTGCCACCAACCACTTTTCGTGAAGCTCCAAAAGAGCTCTAGGCGTAAAATATCGTTTGGACCCCAAAAAATGGCGTTTGGACGCTTTTCCGGGCCGTTTTCTGGTGCGGACACAAAATCAATGAATCGAAAGTGCTATGCATAGTGTTTTTTGGATGCATCCATCCTCCCTCTCACATAAGGGTCACTTAGGACTCCGGATCGGGCCTAAGCATCAAGTGGGGCCTACGCCGCCGAATAAACGTTCAAGATCCTCTCGGAAAGGCATATATGCGTTTGCGCGTCATAAACAAAGGTGCGATCATACCAGCACTAATGCACCGGATCCCATCAGAACTCCGCAGTCAAGCGTGCTTGGGCGAGAGTAGTACTAGGATGGGTGACCTCCCGGGAAGTCCTCGTGTTGCACCCCTTTTTTGTTAATTTTTTTCTGTATTTCTATCTGAAACTTCCAAAATGCGTAGCTGGAAGACCGTGAGGCCGTATGCTGCCACCAACCACTTTTCGTGAAGCTCCAAAAGAGCTCTAGGCGTAAAATATCGTTTGGACCCCAAAAAATGGCGTTTGGACGCTTTTCCGGGCCGTTTTCTGGTGCGGACACAAAATCAATGAATCGAAAGTGCTATGCATAGTGTTTTTTGGATGCATCCATCCTCCCTCTCACATAAGGGTCACTTAGGACTCCGGATCGGGCCTAAGCATCAAGTGGGGCCTACGCCGCCGAATAAACGTTCAAGATCCTCTCGGAAAGGCATATATGCGTTTGCGCGTCATCAACAAATGGGTGCGATCATACCAGCACTAATGCACCGGATCCCATCAGAACTCCGCAGTAAGCTTGCTTGGGCGAGAGTAGTACTAGGATGGGTGACCTCCCGGGAAGACCTCGTGTTGCACCCCTTTGTTTGTTAATTTTTTTCTGTATTTCTATCTGAAACTTCCAAAATGCGTAGCTGGAAGACCGTGAGGCCGTATGCTGCCACCAACCACTTTTCGTGAAGCTCCAAAAGAGCTCTAGGCGTAAAATATCGTTTGGACCCCAAAAAATGGCGTTTGGACGCTTTTCCGGGCCGTTTTCTGGTGCGGACACAAAATCAATGAATCGAAAGTGCTATGCATAGTGTT